TTTCACACCACTTCTCCAGGATTTGTTATTAGTTGAATTCTTTATACTGGCCATTTGTTCTATAGAGAGATGGCATCTCAGTGCTGTTTTAGAACATTTAATGAATGCTGAAAATTGAATTATTTTTCCCAGTTGTGAAAAGTAATATCTTAGTTTATTTAGAGCTGCTGCCACACAATTATGTCTAAAATGTGGCTCTTTAAGTAGATGTGTGCTTTTAATATAAAGAAGCAATTTCTCTTGGATTCCACTCTTCATCTTTGTTTCCCATTCCCCAATATTGTGAGGCAGCAGAAAGGCCCTCTCCAGCAGTCCATGCCATACTCATGGGCTTCCCAGTCACACATTAATTTATACTGCTAATAATTTACCTATTCTGTGGCTATAACAGCTCTAAATAAATTAAGATATTACCTTTCACAACTAGGAAAAATAATTCAATTTTCAGCACTCATTAAAGATGAGCAGATAATAATACAAGTTCATGCAGTTCTGAGCACCCATCAAAGACAAGACAGATGATCCTATGAGTGGAGACAGAGGACTGTGAAGGATACAAGGAATCTGGAGAGGTGGGCATTGGATTCACAGATCTGGTATTCCCAAAGGGACAAAAAAATATTCAAAGTTCACTGAAGTTTTCATAATAATTAAGGATAATCTCTATTCAAAGTAAAAAAAATGTATATTAAAATAATGAAAAATATTATACAGCAGGAAGCACTAATATGTGGTCCATAGAGATGATGACAACTCTGGATCTCCCGAAAATAGGAAAAGGATGGGTGATGGAGACACAGGATTCCCTGCCAGAGGTCATATATGGGAGCAGAGGAGTTGGACTGCTCACCCCATCCTCTGAGATTCAGGAAATAAAAGTCACAGTGTTCTCTTCACTTTTTAAGCTAAAGGAGGACAGGCCATTGTGTTCACATGGCTATATTCCTAAGAAGAGCCTACAGATGAATGACTCAGAGGGCACAGGTGAGGAAGAATCTCTGTCCCAGTGTTGTCTTTGAATGCACTGATACCACAGTGGCAGCAAAAGTAGAAACCAGAGGCCAGGCCTGAGCCACAGTCCTGAGTATTCACCCTCTAGCAAAAGAAGAACCTTTTCTGTTAACTTCCTCAAGGAACTGGAGCACTGTGGGGGCACTGAGGCTGCTATCATAAGAATGACAGTGATAATCAGCCTCATCCTCAGATTGGAGCCCACTGATGGTCAGGGAGGCTGAGCTGCCAGATATGGAGCCAGAGGACTGACCAGAGACCCCCAGAGGGTCGATTGTTATTCTCAGAGATGATGAGATTGGGAGCTGTTCCTGAGAATTACTGGTACCAATGGACAGAATAGCCATCCCCAATATTGGTGCCGCTTCCAGTGCAGGAGATTGTAACTGTCTGTCCTAGGGACCCAGACACTGAGGAAGGCTGAGCCAGTACAGCCTGGGCCCAGGACCCTGCAAGTAGGAGACTTGGGGAGATGCTGATCTAGTTCTAAGACCAAAAGAGAAGGGAGGTCTGACCAGGTCCTAAGCCCTTCCTCTGCCTGCAATCTCCTTATCTGTGCAGTAAGCCAAGAAACTGAAGAGGAGAGGCCACCATGCCATGGTGGAGGTCATCTCTAGGTCCTGCCTTCTGAGATCCCAGTAGAGCAGAGCTTCCCTCAAGTCTCTAGCTTACCTCTTCATATCTGAGAAGGGGAGGCTCCACCCATGGAAATGAGCTTCCTATCAGGTTTCTAATCTCATTCAGGGCTCTGGCTCAGTCCTCTATGACAAAAAGAGCTCACTGGGAGTGTCAGAGTGGGGCTGAACTGACCTTGGGATTGAAGAGTTTAAGCTCTAAGACTTGAGCAAAAGATGTGTGTACGGGGTACCTCTTTACAACTCTGATCACCCTTACACCACTCCATAATGAGCTGCTAGTGCCCCCTAATGTCAGGCCCTGATATAGCTTGTTGTGAGAGTGACTACAGACTGTCAGGGTCACATTTGCTTCCCCCTTCCCTCTGGGTCATCATTAGTCCAAGTCTTATTGGGACCTTCCATTATCTCAGGAAGTTGGACATAAAAATGCTACCAAAAGTCCCTGCCTTCAAATCCTTCCATGGCTGAATTACATCTGATTGTCTCAAAGAGATATTTATTTATGAACAAATTTTGTTTTATAGCACCAAGTACAATGATTTGTGAATTCACCAATAGCTAAGTCTGTTGTGGTTTTAGCAGTGGGTGAGCCTAAGATGTCTTGAAGTCAAAAGTAATGGAAGAACCCATGGCTTTTAGCTACTCAATGTGATGACAATTCAATAAAACAGAACAGGATTCTCAGTGTCATTAGCTATTAGAGTACTACCAAGTCCACAGAGAGCGGCAACGTTATTCTCACTAGGGTGGCCATAAACACAGTGATCGATGGTAATAACATACTCCTGGGCTTCCCAGTTGCTCATTAATTTATCCTGTTAATAATTTACCTCTTCTCTGGCTATAGCAGCTCTAAATCAACTAAGGTATTACGTTTCATAACTAGGAAAAATAATGCAATTTTCAATGTTCACTAAAGATGAGTAGATAATAGTATAAGATCAAGTAGTTCTACACCCCCATCAAAAACAAGAGGGACAGCCTGCAGGACTCACCAGGTATAGATTTAGGGACTACAGATCTGTAGGTCATCTATCTATTTATTATCTAGCACCAGAAGCAATATGAATTGCGGGCAGAATTGTTTTCCCCTCCTGTAGGTTTTCTCTTCATGCTGTTGGTTATTTCCTTTGGTGTGAAGATTTTTTTTATATTATCCCATTTGTTGACTCTTAATTTTTTGTGCATGCAGTTGAGGTTTTGATAAGAAATTGTCTGTACCTATGTCTCCTGAGTTTCACCTATTTTCTCATCCAACATATTGCTTCTATTTTAACATTTAAAATTTTAGTCCATATGTATTTTAATTTAGTACAGTGTTGTCTGAAACCCTTGTGATTCTCTACAATAGGGTGTGGGGGAGTAGTGGGTTGGATGAAGAAAACAGAGTTGAGATGAAACCTGAGGTCAGGTGGATCAGCCTGAGGAATGACTACTCCTGTAGGGGCATATATTTATGCTTTTGACAAAATTACTATCACAAGACACAAGGTTGCCTCTCCTCTTCAGTTTCTTGGCTCACTGCACAGATGAGGAGATTGCAGGCAGAGGAAGGGCTTAGGACCTGGTTGGACCTACCTTCTCTTTTGGTCTTAGAACCAGATCACCATCTCCCCATGTCTCCCACTTGCAGGGTCCTGGGCCCAGGCTGTGCTGACTCAGTACAGTCAATAATGATGAACAATGATGAATTATCTCAGGTAAGATGTTTTTCTCAGGACCGAATCATTTCCAGCATTAGTGCTCCCAATACGTTGTGAATTATAAGGGTCTAGGTTCAATCTTCTGCTTGTGAGTACCCAGCAGCCTAGGTGCCTATCAACATAAGAATGAATAAATCAAATGTGGGATGTTTATACAATGGAATACTATTCTGTCATAAAAAAAGAAAAACTTGAGTCATGAGGGAAAAAGGTTCATTTGGGGACCATAATGTCAAGTGAAAAAAATCAGACACAGAGGCTGAAATATCATATGGTTTCTCTTATACAAGAAATCCAAAATAGAAATAAAGAGCAAAATAAAACATACAAAATAGAAACTAAGGATATAAACTGTTCAGGATGGGAAAGCAACAAAGAGAGGGAGAGGGAAAGAGGCAAGGAGGAGCAGAAGGGGATGAAAAAAGTACTGAGACTTCATTCCATGTGCACACACCAGTTCCCCATTATGCACTACAAACCTGTACTAATAAGTATATATATTGTATAGCTAAGTAAAATGAATATAATTCAGCCTCAACAATGTTTCTCTTTATTGTAAAGAAGTTATAAAATATAATTTTAGTACCCATACAGTTGGGAGTGTTCTCCGTGTGTCCAGAAGTGATCAGAGACACTGAAATTCACCATGATCCACTGTAGGATCAATTTCAATTCAGCACAACATGAAAGGACCTCGAGTAAATTTTTTTTTGTAGTACTGGGGATTAAACTCAGGACATGCTTGCCAGGCAGGACCTTTTGCCACTAAGCTGTCTCCCCGGGCATCAGATGAAATTTGTAGAGCAAAAGAAGCCAGTCATGAGAAAACATACATGTGATTCTCTTTATAATCTTATGAAATGAAAACACATTACTATTTACAAAGAGAGGGCCAGCCAACTAGATCAGCGGATTAAAGCACCTGCTTAGGCAGACACAGGGGCCAGATTTCAATCCCCAGGCTTGTCCTGCCAGCCTACTTCTGGGATGCACTGAGAGGGCGATTCAGACTGGGCATGATAGTGAGCACCTGTAATCCTAGCACTTGGGGGCTGTAAACAGGAGGATCACTATGAGTCTAATCTATGTAGTGAGACCTTTACACCCTGTACACCCTGTCTTAATACAAAAAAATAAATAAAAATAAAATATTTACAAAGAGAGAGTTGGTTGCTCCTTAGGATGATTCTGTGAGTGGAGTTAGAGGACTGTGAAGGACACAAGATTCTGGGGGAGGTGCCTATTGGATTGCTTGATCTGATGGTCCCAAAGGGACAATAATATCTCAAAATTTATTAAATGTTTTACTGCAATTATGGCTGGATGTTTGTCTGTTCAGTGTTCACAGTAAAAAAAGGTATGCTAAAATAGTCAAAAAGTAGTCTACAACAGGGAGCACTGGTATGTGGTCCACGTAAAGAATGACAACTCTGGAACTCTTGAAAATAGGAAAAGGATGGATGATGGAGACACAGGATTCCCTGTCAGAGGTCAAGTATGGGACCAGAAGAGTTGGACTTGTCTCCACATTCCCTGAGCTTCAGGACATAGAGTTCACATGATTCTCTTCAATTATTTATGCTAAATAGGAGCATGCCCTAGTTTTTATATAGAGAACTTTCCTAGGAACAGACTACTGCCTTGTGACTCAGAGGGCAGAGGTCAAGAGGAACCTCAGCCCAAGTGTTGTCTTTGCGCACACTGATACTACAGTGGCAGCAAAAGTAGAAACCACAGACCAGGCCTGAGCCACACTTCTTCTTCTTCTGCAAGAGGAAGAAGCTTTTGTGTTAGCTTCCCCATGGGGCTGGAGCACTGTGTGAGCATTCAGGCTGCTATCATAAGACTGACAGTAATAATCAGCCTCGTCCTCAGATTGGAGCCCACTGATGGTCAGGGAGCCTGAGCTGCCAGATTTGGAGCCAGAGAACCGATCAGAGACCCCGGAGGGTCGATTGCTATTTTCATAGATGATGAGTTTGGGAACTGTTCCTGAGAGCTGCTGGTACCAGTGGACATAATAGCCACCCCCAATATTGGTGCTGCTTCCAGTGCAGGAGATGGTGACCGTCTGTCCTGGAGACCCAGACACTGAGGGAGGCTGAGTCAGCACAGCTTGGGCCCAGGAACCTGCAAGTGGGAGAGACAAGGAAACGGTGATCTAGTTCAAGACTGAAAGAGAAGGCAGGTTCCCCCATGTCCTAAGCTGTGTCTCTGCCTGCTATCTCTTCACCTGTGCAGTGAGCCAGGAGGCTAAAGAGGAGAGGGAACCAGGCCATGGTGGAGGTCATCCGTGAGTCCTGCCTTCTGCCCCACAGTAGAACAGAGGTACTGCCCTCAAGTCCCTGACTTGCCCTCTTCATAATCTGAGAGGAGGCTCCACTCATGCAAATGAGCTTCCTACCAGGTTTCTGACCTCACCCTGGATTCTAGCTCAGTCTCACGCCAGAAAGAGCTCATTGGGTGGATCAGGGTGGAGCTGGATTGTTTTGGGGGTGGGAGGGTTTAAGATGTTAGGCCTGAGCAAAAGACCTGTGGATGGGGGTGGTTCTTACAACTTTGATCTCCCTTAGACCACTCAATAATAGACTTGCACTGCCCTCTAATGTCCAGGCTCTGAAACACCATGCTATGACTTAGTGACTACATCCTCTTAGGGACAGATATTCCTCTGGGTTATCATCAGGCAGTCCTTCTGTGCCCTCCCACTGCCTCAGGAAGTTGGATTTGCAGATGCTACAAGATGCCCCCTGGCTTCCAATCCTGGGATAGGAGGATGACAACATTCTAAATATCTTATTGTCTCAAAGAGGTATTGAATTTTTGAAAAGATTTTCTGTTGTATGCCACCAAGCACAATGATTTATGATTTCACCAATAGCTGAATCTGTTGTTATTTTAGCAGTGGGTAAGAATATAGTTTCTTAAAATCAAAAGTAATGGAAGAGCGTGTGACCTTCAGCTGCTCTTGATGTGATTCATAAATGGATAACACATGACAGGATTCTCAGTGTCATTTGTTGTTAGGCTACCATCCAGTACATAGTGAGCTACAACAACATTCTTACTAGTGTGGCCATAAGCACAGTGATAGATAATAACAAGTGCCGGTAACAATATGTGGAAAAATAGGAAACTTTTCACATTGTCCATAGAAATGTAAATAGGTACTAAGATACAGAATTTCCTCCAATGAGCTTACTGTATGACTCAGAAATTTTTCTCATAGTTATTTGCCCAAGAGTGATGAAGTTGTGTCTATAGCAAAACCTGAAACCTTCAAATATGCTATGGTTTACAGCTGGATGTCCCTCTAAAGCATCGGGTGCTCATAGGTGTCTGGGGAGGTGATAGATGGGGGGGCATGATAATCATCCATCAGTGGATTGGTCTGTCATAGCTGACTTGCTGTTATGAGGTGGGATCTGGTTGTAAGAGGTAGATCATGGAGGGCATGAGCTTGAAGGGTTCATCTCTTCCCATCTCCACTCTTCACTCTCTCCCTCTCTGCTTCCCATTCTCCATGTCATAACTTGTTTCTCCCCTGCTTCTTGCATGTATATCTCACCTTGTTCATCTTGATTTTCTTCTATTCTTAGCAATAGCTACCACCAACACATTGAGCATTATAGTTTTATTGGCCTTAAAGCATATTTCTGTTAATCCTAAAGACATCATAATAGATACACCCCTTGGAAACAGACTTCTCTTCCCCAAATCCATCCCAACACAAACCACTCTGGAGAGGTAACTCCATATTTGCCCCCACATTCACATTTCATTATTATAAAATTTCTTGAGGGGTAGGGAAGGAAGTGGGGTTTATGCATCATCATTCAAAAGTAGAACTGTGAGGAAGGGGACAATTTCTGTGTAATAGTAGAGGCTCCCGTTAATATGAATGCAGAAAATTGAAACATTGTTAGGAAAGAGGCCAGGGAGATAGCTCAGTAGAATAAGTACAAGGGCCTGAGTTCAATCCCCGGTTCTGAAAAAATAAAAAAATAAAAAGATTTTTAAGAAAAAGATGGGGAAGTGAACTGAATTTTAGCTGTTGCATTTTAGCTGAGAGATAGCATAAGGAATGAAGAGAAAACAACAACGCAAGAGAAGATGGTACAGCAGAGGTGAAGAAAAGGCCTAAATTATATCTAACTACTGAATTAGCAGTTAAACAATGTTAGGTAACACCACCAAACAAACCTTGAGGTAGCATATGTGACTCAACCACAAGGAATATTTCACAAGAAATCCAAAATTTATACCCATAGCTATAACCATACACACACTCATATACATAAAAGCCTACTCCCAAAAATAAAGACATTAAAACTTAAAAAAGAAAATACACAGAAACACAAAATAAACAAAAATGTGTGCAAATATCTAAAGGATGGCATGTTGAGAGAGCCTCTGGGGTTTTCGGAACTCGGTTAAGTTTCCACCACTGCACCTGACAAGTAGCTGCCTCGTGCTGGTGAGGCAGGAATCTTGCCCCTGTGCACTGTCCTGAAGGCCTCTCTCTGTCCCTATAAGTCACAGGTCATACTTGGTTTTTCAGGATTTAAATTTGACTAAGGACTTTAGAGTTTTCTGGGGGTTTGCAGGAAGGGGACATTGATTTCAGTTGTTTTCTCCACCTTCAGTGATCCTGAAACCATGTTCCGCTTCACAGAGGATCTCTCTGCAGTGGTGTTAAGGGAGGGGCAGAGGAGAGCTCATGTGTGTGGCATTCAGTAGCACGTGGAGGGCAGGAGGAGGGAATCTCAGATGGTGCTGAGCTCAGCAGCATTTGGGAGGCAGTGGGAGGGTGTGTGACCTGGCACTGATTCAATTTTCTTTCCTTTCTCCCCACCCCCCACCACTAACAGTTACAGGGAGCCCTTGAAATCCCTGCTGTCTAAGAGTTTCTTCAGTGCCCAGCTCTCCCCACATCCAGGACCTGCCCTTTGTTCCTGTCTGTCCTAGTGTTCCGAGGTTCTAACTCAGTCACTGCCCCCTCAGTGCTTTATGTCTCATGCCTTACTTTGTTCCCTGAGCTGAAGTAGCCTCTGTGGTGAATATCTTGCCCACTCTGCTCCATCTTCCAGTGTGAGTAGACTTAGTGTCGGTGGGCACTGCACAGAGGCTGATAGGTTCTGCACAGAGGCTAATAGATTGGGTGTCCCTGGACAGCCCACACGCTCCTGCTACACTCAGCTTCTTCTAGCAGAGGGCTTTCAACTTCCCCAGACGTTGTGTGCAGTGGACCTGGGATGTGAGCCATGCTGGGTTCAATTGGCCATGCTGCTTTCTCTAAACACATACTTCCTTGATTTCCCCTGATAGGCTTCTCCTTCAAGTTGTCTTCTTGTGGTTGAATTTGGTCCACCCCTTGTATCCAAGTGACTACAAGGCACAGTGAATGTTTTCTAAGCATCTGTTGAGCACGGCTTCCTTTAGACAGCTTTTATGGTCAGTACTTCACATGATTTTAAGGCATAAAATATATCATATTTAAATATATTTACTACATTGTATCTTAAAACAACTCCATCCATGTTATATAAGAGAAACGATGTAATTCTGTATGCAACAAATTTCAAGATAGATATCTAAAAGATAAAGAAAGAGACAGAATGAGGAAAGAAATGGAGGCATCTAAAATTGTATATAATTGTTTCCATAAGTCATTTTAAGATGCTCAAATCAATGAGAAATACCATTTGATGAAAATAACCTTTACAAGTATTCTAAAGATATTACATACATTGCATTTCTCTGTCCACTAAGGGATCTGTAACAGAACCCTACACATTCTCTCAGAGATGCTCAAGTCACCAGAGACAGAACAATTCTGACCTTAATAGAATGAAAGGCTGGCAATTAGGAGTCAATGCTGAGTGTGCAGGTTGAGAAACTGGAGAGTGAAGAGGAGCCCAGGACACGAGGAGCTTATCACACTACAAGAGAAACAAGAGTAGCTCTCTTGGCAGCTCTGGGAAGATGTCTTCTCATACAGTCAGAATCTTCCTTTGAAATTCGTGAAGGACCGGGCTGCTGTTGCCTGCTTGCGTTGCATATTACAAGTGCTTTTGCTCTCACCAAATTCCTCCCATAATTTGGCACATGCACTGTGTACTCAGAAACTTTTTCTCTTAGTTGAACATCTACACCATACTTCCTATCTTGTAAATTCTACTCTTTCCAAACTTCCCATTCACCATCCTCCAGATAATTTGAAAAAATCTAACTCTATCCTCCTTTGTGATCTGGATCAATTGTATGAATTTATTATCTATACTATTGGATAATATTTTGAAAGTTTTTGTTTCCATATTAATTAGTAGCTCATTTAATCCTTAGATATGTTATTACTGTTTTGTATACCAAGATTCATTTGAAGTGGATGATATAACATTGTTGGAAAACAAAAAAATGCAATATGTTCTTCAGATATCTAGAGCAGCGGTGGCAAACCTATAGCATGACTGTTATGGTTTTTGTTTAAGGAAAATATGGAATATAGGAGTTGTTTTTTGTGAACTAAAGGCCAGTATTTAGGGTTAATTGGGCTGTGGAGATAGCTCAGTGGTCTAAACACCTCCTGGCAAGTACAAGGTCCCAAGTTCAATCTCTGGTACATATGCCATGCAGGCCACTGAATCTGGGTATGGTGGTGCATGCCTGCAATCCCAGCTCTGGGGAGGCTGGAACAGGAGGATGATTATGAGTCTAAAATGTGCAGTGAAACATTTTG